ATTATGGGACAAATATTTGTGGTCATTTATGCTTGATATTTCTACATGAATTTTGGAATAATGAGAAAAAACTTGAAAGAAAACGTATAAAAACACAGTTATCTGCATAAATAAAATTAGTCATACATTTGACATGTCATCGTTCACAGTGACTTTCAGCGGTAACAGTTCCGTGCTACAATCATATTTTTATCCTGAAATAGAGTTAGATCCGAACTGTAGTTATCAGTGTGGATTATTGGATTTTACAACATACAACTCAATACCGAATATTATTGAGACTCAAAACGATAAATTCACATTTCAATATAAAGTTGATGAAAAGAAAAAAGACAGCAAGGGCAAAGAGACAACATCATCAATTCTCAAAGAGAAAACAATTACATTTCCAACTGGGGCATACGAAGCTGCCGATTTGTTGAAACATCTACAAGCTGAACTCGCTTCTGTGAAAATCAATCTAACATTCACATTAAATCCATCATTAGCAAAGGTTAAGATTGCATTTAGCAGTGACATAACCTGGATAGGTGGTTCGGTTTTGAATGTTCTCGGATTCCATAAAGAGCATACGCCTGTATTTAGAAGAAATCAAACATATTTAAGCTCGTCAATTGTCAAAATTACCGACATCGATATCATTCGAATTGAGTGTGACATTGTGTATGGTTCATATATAAACGGAAAATCCTGTCATACTATTCATCAGTTCCCATATTCGAAGGTGGCACCCGGCTATAAAATAATTGAAATTCCACAGAATATTGTGTATTTACCCATCAAGGATAAGCGCTTGCAATCCATTCAGATTTCGTTCGTAGACCAGAGCGGTAATCCAATTGATTTCCGAGGAGAGAAAATCAGTTGTCGAATTCATATAAAAAAATCTGATTATTAATAATGTTGATTTATACGGACAGTGCTGCTGCTGATGCTAGCAATCCATTCAGGCAATCAAGCTATAAAAGTGCGGGCAAACGAAAGCTAAGTAGTATTCCGTCAACGACATCAAAGCGCAAACGACGTGCACCGAGCAAGAGAAATAAATCGAAATCCAATGGTAAAAAATCGAAAAAAGTGAAAAAACTTAACGCAAAAAACGTGAAATTACTGAAGAAGTTAGGATTCAAAATTAAAAAGCATTAAAAATGTCCAGCATTTTGAACATCGCATCTCTACCAATGCGAGATGATTCAATCATCCGAAAAGAAATTTATCAGTATACACCATATACGAATTCATTTGATGAATCAGATGAAATAAGAATTGCTATACAAAATAAAGAAAGTTACTTGGCCCCATCACAATCCTTTATCTATCTACAAATCGCATGTACAACCAATGGTCGACATGTAGACGGTGACGCAGAAATTAAATTCGTAAACAACTTTGCATCGTTTCTATTTAGCGATGTGCGATATGAATTAAACGGCGTTGAAATTGATTCAGTGCGAAATGTTGGACGCGCGTCCACAATGAAATTGATGCTTGCATCTCGATTATCAACACTGAATGGATATGCATCATTTTGCAGAACCTATGAAGCGACATCACCTCGTGCAGATGTAGAAAAATTATACGATGTTGTAATACCATTGAGCGCATGGCTACCATTCTGCGATACATACAATCGATGCATCATTAACTGTCGACATGAATTGATTTTGAATCGTGCGCGCCAAAGTTTGGATTGTACCCATGGCGGTGGTATATTGCCCACTTCAGCTGTGGTCAGTGTGGCGGTGAAAAAAATCGAATGGAAAATGCCTCACATCACGCTTTCGGACAAAGTAAAACTAAACATGCTAAGCTATTTATCAAAAAACCGAAAGATAACCGTTCAACATCGTTCAATGGACATTCATGAGTATCAATTGCCACAGACAACGAACCATTTGTGGAGCGTGAAGACTGTTGCCAGCTCGAATAAACCACGATATGTAGTGGTTGGCTTGCAGACAAATCGAAATGCTCAAAAAAGTGTGAATGCATCTAAATTTGACGCCTGTCATTTGACTGATGTACGTCTGCACCTAAACTCACAGATCTATCCTTATAATATGAATACATTGGATATCGGTGGAGGAATTTACTCTGAATTATATGCATTATATTCAGATGTGCAAACATCATATTACAACAATACGGAAGCCAAAAATCCATTCGACCTTCCATATGGCGTATTTCAATCATCGCCAATATTCGCCTTTGATACTTCACATGCAGACGAATCGCTGGTTGGCGGATCCATTGACGTACGCATCGAACTGAAAGCCAAGCAAAACATTCCGGCCAATACAACGGCATACTGTTTAATTATATACGACAATGAATTTTGGTACTCGCCATTCGACGGAATCGTCATGCGAAACGTATAAAAAAAAAGTGGATGTCATCACTTGAAGTTCAACATTCATATTAAGAATACATATATGAGAGGAGAGGGGAAAAAAAAAATATATAACGAATAAGCAATGAGTAAAATTCAAGTTGTTAGAGAAATTCATAGTTATGCAAGGCGAAATTTTCCACGTCGACGATTTGCGATGTATGGGATTGCAGAGACTTTGCAAGCTGATTTGATGGAATTTCAACCGTTTAAGCGTGTGAATAATGGCCATCGCTATATATTGATTGTCATTGATGTTTTTTCGAAGATGGCTTTTGCCGAACCGCTGAAAACTAAAACGGGTGTTGAAGTGACGACTGCAATGGAACGAATTATTCAGAAGGTTATACATCATTTTCCCAATCATCGTATTAATCATCTTATGACGGATGAGGGGACCGAATTCCATAACAAAACGATGAAAAGAATGCTCGAAAAATATAAAATAAATCATTATTCTACGTTTAGCATAATGAAATCTATGATTGCTGAACGCTTAATTCGCACCCTGAAACGACGCATATATATGCAATTTTCGTTGCAAGGCTCTTATAAATGGATTAACATTCTTCAACATATAATTAATGATTATAACGAGACAAAGTAATTTTTTTTTTTTTTACAACAAATTGAATTCTTTTGAATATATGTAATAATAATAATATGTATTTCATTCAGACATAGCACGATAAAAATGAAACCGCTCGAAGTCGACAGCACTAACGAATCGCATTTACGTAATACCGTCTACAATTATAAGCGTTTGGAACCATCGGATAAAGCGGCAGAGCAGATGTATTTACATGGAAAAAAACGACCACTGCATCGACGAAGAGCCAAATTTCATGTTGGCGACCATGTTCGTTTATCGAAATACCGAAGCGTATTTGACAAATCGTATACGATAAATTTTACGCCGGAAATTTTTACGATTCGATGTGTAAGATACAGCACCGATCCTATAACATATCTGCTCAGCGATTATCAAAATCAAGAGATCAAAGGTTCTGTCTATGAACATGAACTTCAAGCTGTCAAACATCCGAATGTGTATCTCGTTGAAAAAATTCTTCGCAAGCGAAATGGTCGATCGTACGTTAAGTGGCTAGGATTCGGATCCGAACATAATTCATGGATCGACGATAAAGATATTATTTAAGTTTTTTTTCTTCCCCACCCTTTCAATTAAATATATATATATAAAAAAGTTGTCAGTCTTTAGAACCAAATAGTTTTTTCGAGTGAGTGAGTGTAGCATGAACAAGTTAAGAGAGGCACGCAAAATGTCGGAAAAAAGACAAAAATTAGATGAGGCATTCACGTTCCGTCCTCTGAATTCGGTTAAAGAAGGTGATTATTGTGTAGAACATACAGTTTACCGAGTCGGCAGGACAACCGATGGAAATAAAAATTTTCATGTCATGACCGATCGAGGAAAAAAATATATTTATGGTATTGAATGTATTACGGGCACATCGAGCAGTGCGAGTGACTTTGAGGCCACCGTGAATGTTACTATGACAGAGATGATTGAAATTTTTAATGCAATTCCATTCAATGACATATGGACGGCGACATTCCACAAACAAAACACAAGTAACGAGTGGGCTGGCGAATTTGTGGATCGAATTGTTTCAATGGATAAATCGGAAGCGGTCAAATTTCTCAAAAAGAACATTCATAGTGCTGACAAAACTGAACGCGTAATGATTGGTAAAAAACGTAACGTTATTTCTAAAAATAACATGTATCAAGTTCAAGACCTTGAAATATACTTTAATGAACTATCAAACTCGAATAAAGATTATGCTGAAAGTAAATCGATTAGGAATATTGATGTTAACTGGCTACATACATTGATTTATAATAATATTCAATATGTTAGAAAATAAAATATTTAATCCCCTCTATATGTATTTTTTCGGTATGCTAACTAAAATAAATGAATAAATAAAGAGTGTGAAATTGAATTTGGAATCAGTTGTGTGTTTTTTTTTTTATTTGTCGATAGTCATCGAACATGGTTAAGACAGTAAAAAATTTTCGTGGTAAATACGCGTTTCTGTCGAATTTACATCCCGTGGATATCACATTTCAAAATCATGTGTATAAAAGCGCAGAACATTTTTATCAATCACTCAAGTGTTTATATCCGACTGACGCTGAAAAAATTCGGAATATGGAAACAGCAAAATCAGCTAAAATTTTAGGACGATTTCTCGTGGAGAGGCCTTTTTGGATTGTCGATCAAATTCATATTATGGAGAAAATTATATGCTTGAAATTCCGTGATAAAGCACTGTATGCAAAATTGATAAAAACCGGCAATAAGATACTTACGAATCAGAACTATCATCATGATACGTTCTGGGGGACATGCGGTTGTACTCAACACAAAAGAAGTGGATTGAATATGCTTGGGCTTATTCTAATGAAGCATCGCAATGATGTATTCTTTAGACATCGCATAAAATACAACAGCACTCAATATTTGAATAGAAAGAAAAAGAAAAAGAATATTGTTGAAACTAAAAAAATAAAAGAGAATTTATAATTCAAACGATTTATTTTTTATTTAAAAAAAAAAAAAAACACCTTATTATAACATTCTTCATTTCTCAAGTGATTTGATCGAATAATGGCCCCAGGCCAGCGTGTTAATATAATCCGGTTTTTTTACATATCTTTTATCGTCAAATGGATTAAGCGCTATTTTATTTTGACTTATCGTGTATATATTATGATTTATAGAACGGAATGAATTCTGTTGTCGGGTGACATCTTGCCTATTCATTACGCATGCTACATAATCGCTAAACTGAATTTTATTTCTGACAACAATCTTTTTGGTGCCTTTCGCTTTTTTATTACTGTCGTTCAATTTCTTAACTAAAGTATTTATTGCATAGCACTTTGCGCGTAGACCAACAAATTCATATATAATATTTCCCATCATCTCGTCTTTGAAACATCCGGGTATCTTCTTATTCTTACGTTCTAGATTGAATACATTCGGCAATGGATAATCACTCGTGTCATATTTTTCGCTATTTTTACGCATATCTTCATAGAAATCCGACGTTTCAACATCCATTATAAAACTGTCCGTATCGCTATAAAGAATGTGAGCTTTATCACCATAATACGGTTTAATGAATTCATATAAAAACGAATACATTGTTATTTTAGATAAATCCAAAACACACATGCCGATAGCGATTGGCTTGTTCATAATTATGTTGGTATTACGCATTTCCAACGCTACCAAAGAATCATCGAAAATGCGACAATGTTCGAAATCGGGTCGAGAGATGTACGTTCGCGCACCATTACGTCCAAACCATTTGTTTACAAGCTTTAGCGTTCTATAATTGCGCACCGACTCCATAGTCTTTCCAAAAATGCTGTTGTTCATCAGCTTAAAGAAATTTTTTTCGAAATCATTTTTTGCTTTGGTCCGCATTTCTGTATTCAAATCGATATATTCTTTAAGCCAAGCACTCTGTCGAAATTTAAGAATTCGATGAACCTTTTTCAATATCATGCCATGACGTAAAGCTAATTTCAACATTCTATAATGTAATATATAATTTTTTTTATCATGTAATGTTAGTAACAATTTTTCAATGTTATTTCTTCTCTTTTTAAATTTAGTCTTATCTCGAGACTTAAGTTGTCTTTTTATAAATTCGCTTTTTCGCCAATTTTCGGAAATTTCAAACGCATCATCGGGGAGCCTCCTCTTCTCGGCACATAATGGGAAGTCGTTATGCATATCATGGAGCGATTCAGGATAGTGCAAATCAACTTCGAAAATATAACCATGCTGTCCGTCATCTGGCAGATTCATTATCGCATCAGGTTGTGAATAGAGCCATTTCTCAGATTTTGCATCTTCGTCATCGGCATCATAATCGTCAATGATTTTATTATTATTATTCTCAACCCACTGATAGTCACCGATTGGTAATGATTGACTCATGGCATGTCCATACAGATTATTAGCTAATATGATGAAATAGATTTTTTTTTCTTTTAATATCTAATGAAATATATTCTCGAATGAATAACTTACCATCAAAGTACATAATATAATTTTCTGGTGTATTAGGATCGAATTTCTCATTCATATATCTGTTATTGGCCTTCGCATATCGATGGGATACCTGTGCTATACCACCTCGAATTGATGATTCAATAAAATATATCATATCAACGTCGGTGAATAATTCAATTTGAACTCTCGTATATTTGAGCATCGCATCCCAGCTAAGTCCGGGTGCTGTGTAATAATGAGCCGGATCCAAATTATAAATTGAATGACATGTTTCACGGAAATTCTCAAATATATCTGCTAGCAATAATACATCCGTTTTCATATATAAATCAGAGTATTGACCGAGATTTTCTATTTTAAATTCACGCCAAACGGTACAAGCGAATTCATAGTCTTCATCTGATATATCCACATCGTTAAGTCTGCTTTTAAAATTCTCTTTCGATGGAAGCACAGTCTCATCTAATCGGGCCAAGCAATCAATATATTCGTACGGGAAAATTGACTTACGTTGAAGCAAAGCTATCTGTTGTGGTGAATAAATTTTACCATATTCGGAATTTAAAATATGTTTGTTTTCACTTGGAATGTCAGATGCTAATTTATCCAATGACGAGGCCATAAAACGACATGAATCGATAAATTTTAACTTGATTTTTTCCTTATATGTTTTACTACTATTCCACACCGTCTTTGTGAATGCAATATAGTTTTCGGTGTTATTAGGTATAATCGTTATGTCACCATTCATTCGATGTGCTAACGTCTTGATGAATAAATGTGCATCATAGCCTGACAGATTATGCATAACAATCGGAATTGTTCGAGTCTCTTTAAATTGTAAGTTGCATGCTACATGTGATATTCCTCGCACTTCAGACGTAAAGTGATTATGATCGCGTGCACGAACCTCACCGGGCTCAAAACCACGATCGCAAATGTGACATTTTGCATCGGGATCTGAAAGCATTTGTTGTTCTTCTGGTGTTAATGCTGCCATAGGTTTATTTTCTTCCAACTCAATAGCGACGAATTGTGCGATTTTTTCCAGCTCATCAACGAACCAATCAATGCAATCTGTGATATTTGGTTTATTTCGATGACTCGCATAATATGATTTAGATTGATCATACTCATATTTAAAATAATAACCAATGCTATGAACATGATGTTGTTGATATGCAGATGTTGAACAAGTTTCACTGAATACCTTATTTTGTTCATCCTCATTGAGAGGTCTAAGATATGCTTCAGTATCAGCATACACAATGAATGGAGCTTTAAGCTTGTTTTTATAATTTTTGAAACTAATCCACTTGGTTGTATCATCAGGCATTTCAATGCGACATTCACTTTTACATTTTTCACTGTGAGCAGCAAGTTTACGATCATCACTAAAATAATTCAGACATTTATCGCAGATATGTTTTTTATGTCCATGTTTACTAAGCTGTGCCCCGACAAGACGAGATAAATTTCGAATCCAGCAATAATGCATTTGGATTCGATCACCATTAGATATTGCCTTAATTCGATCTGAAACTGAATGGCCACCATAGTAATTATCATTTTCTTCGAATAACATCAGCAAATGAATATGATTTTTTTTCACGGTTGGACTGATGCGTAATGGACAGACACATTCATCATTATCATTCCAATAGTAAACGTTTATCGATATGCCATCATTTTGACGTTCGAATTTCGAAATATCATGCAAACTCACTGGGAAAGGAATGTCATCGAAATTAAGCAAATGATCATATTTAAAATATTGTTGATGACGAGAAGCATTTTTCGCATTATTTTTCAAGCCATTCAAAATCGCTGCTAAAACTGCATATTTGAAACATTGATCGTCTGTATTGTCCACGTTAATGATAGCATTTTTCACAGCTAACTTTTTAGGCGTTTTGATGAATGCACTACCTTGAAAGGGTTCATATGAACTGACTTGCACATCCAATTTAAATATCTTTGATAAAGTAAAACCCGAACCTTCCATCGCAGCATTTTCAATCGCTTTATTAACTTCCTCAATGATATGTTCATGGTAGTGCTCTTTTAAGTTAGTTTCCAATGAAATCATAGTATTTGAAGTGGAAAAATAGACGGTCTGTTTGATGGTTTCTTCTTTAAAATTATCGTTTGAAATTAGTTCATGTGCATCG